AATAATAATAATAATAATAATAATAATAATAATAATAATAATAAAAGTTCAGACACAAGCCAGGAGCTTTTAAAAATGGTTAAACTTTTTAATTCAAGCCTAGCGCATGTCTAGCTTGCTTTATTTTCATTCATTTAAATTTACAAGTGTTTTTACCATTAATTAATTAATTAAAAATGTTATTAGATTATTGAATTAATTAAGAATGTATTTTATATATTATTTTATTAAATCCCATTTAATTTTAATTTTGTTTTCAAAGAAGAATATAACCGTTTTTTTAATAATATTAGCAAGTTTTTTTTACCACACATTATTATTTTTAAAAATAATTATCTAATTATATTTTCACTAGCATATATTTTTTATTGTTATATATTTATATAAAAATTGTTTTAGCAAAATGATATTGTTAAATTTAATGAAATTCATAATTTGAATTATCAATTTAACAAGTTAGATCAAATTAATCCAAATTAAGTAAAAATATTATTATATTATTATTAAAAAAAATTATACTTCATATACATTGGATTTTAAATTCATTTTCAAGATTTTACTATCAAAACTTTTTTGTAATATGACCAACAACCAAGCATGAACAGTTACATTAATATCATCAAAGCAAAGAGATCTCATTTGCTCATAAAAAGGAAAAACACAGAGTGTATATCTATTAAAATCCATGCTAACTTTTTCAATATTTAATTCCTAACAATAGTTAATATAGAACTACTGCTAGTAGTTATTAGTTTATTAATTGTGCTTTGCAGCTTATATTAATTTTTTAACATAAAAATAATATTTTATTCATCAAATTATTTATTTAATTTAAATTTTAAATTATTGAGATTTTTTTTATGTAACCTTATTTATTTAACAGGTTCAAGAAAAAATCAACTCAATAATAAAAAAATAAAATTCAATAAAAACATCATATTAAAATATAAAAATTGAAAAAGATAAAAATAAAAGGGTAAAGAATTAAAAAAATCAATGAAATTGATAAATAAAAACCATTAAACAAAAGAAAATAAAAAAAATTATTATATAATAAAAAATACAAAAAATAATTTACTATCAAATCTAATATTAAAAAATAAAATTAAACAAAAAATTATATTACAAAGTTACGACTAGATGCTGGCAACAAAATGGTTGAAAAAATGTATTTGACTGGTTTACCCTTCATAGAAACCATTAAACCACCTCTTTAACGTTTTTCAGTTGCTAGTATAGGGGCATATATTGTTTTATCATAATTAATTATTATTTTATGCAATATCCCTTATTAGGTCCTCGGAATAGGTATCCTTATTCGATAATGTTATCCATTATCCAATGCGGCGTTATTCTTTATTGGCCCATTAAATTAGGGCACAGCGTCTCATCCCCTCCTTTTAGATTGCAAGGTCCGCGAAAATAAAGAATCGAAAGAACTCATAGGAAAAAAAAAAAAAAATACAAGGTTTTAACATTTTTCAAGGAAAAAATCAATCATTCATAGCTCCTCTGTCTTCTTCTTCTTCTTCATTTGTAATTTCTCAGTTCAAATTTGCGTGCTGCTAATAAGGTAAACTCTCTCTCTTCTTCTTTGATGAAGTTAATGTGAGATACTTTGGTTTTAATCGAAACTAATTGGTTATTGTCTGGAATTAGATTGTGGGTTTGGTTTCTCTGGTTCTGCTGGCTTTGTTTTTAGTTTCTTTATGTTATTTTGGAAGAACTCGTCTTTTCTTTCGTCCTTTCCTTTTTTCCTGCTAATATATAAAAAAAAGAAGGATTTTTTTTAATGTTTGATTTGAATTCATAATTTTAAGAAGTGGTGAATAATTAGCTCATAAATGGTAGGAATTGGATTGACTTGAACTTAATTCTTGAAAAAAATGTTATCAATTGGCGCATGAAGTAAGGTGTTTTTCAGTAAAAGCAATGTAGCTGCATATCCCAAAAGATTCTCGAGGATATTAAGCTTTGGGGTTTTTTAAGAGGGGAGGACGGGGGGGCTAGTTTGAAAAGGAAAAGGTTCTAATGATAATCAAGATCAGTTTGTGTCTGTTGCTTGTTATTATGTTGACTAGTTTTATATGGGAATATATAGCTTCTTTGTTTTTGTTTCATTACTTAATGCTTCATAATAATTATGTTTTATGATGTGAATCACTTTCGTTCAATCTCTCATTACTTGTGTTTTCTTTTTCTTTTCTTTTTTGGTTGGATGTCCTGATCCGGATAGATATTTAAACTATTAAACTGGCTGTTGTTTCTTGGGCCAGTGCCAATATCTAAATCTCAAGAAATTCATCACTTCATTTTAATTATTTTTTCATCTGTCGACAATCATCATCATCGATCATTATCCTCTCTTTTGTCATTCCTTCTTCTCTCTTGCCTGACGCTGGAGCTATTTGCTAATTTTTTGTGATCCCTTATTTGAGTATCATTCGCATAAAACTCCTTGGATCGATATCTCATGGCACAAATTCTGTCGAGATTCTTACTCTGCAACTCCATTTGGCCTCTCATTTTGTTTCCACCTTTCCATACTTGCTTTCTTCCTGCTGTGAATGCTTCTGGCTTCTGTGCTTGCTTCACAGTTTCCTTGCAAGATTCTTTTGTTAGATACATAAGATGCCAAGATCAGGGGGAAGTGGTGCATCTGCTGATGAACCAGATATCCCCGAAAAGTCCGTCGAGCCTGAAGAGCAGGTTGACCTTGATGGTGACAATGAAGCTGAGGAAACAATGGAAGAAGAAGTTGAGTATGAAGAAGTAGAAGAGGAGGAGGAAGTGGAAGAGATAGAGGAAGAGGTTGAAGAGGAGGTAGAAGAGGAAGAAATTGAAGAGGCTGCTGATGAAGCAGATTCGAAAAAGGGCTCAGATGGTAAAGAGGAGATAGATGAGGAAAGAAAACATGCTGAGCTTCTTGCACTTCCTCCTCATGGATCAGAGGTGTATCTTGGTGGCATTCCTCCTGGTGCTTCTGAATGGGATTTGAAGGAATTCTGTGAATCTATAGGAGAAGTAACAGAGGTAACTGATCTTGTCTTTGCAAATGCCCTGTCTATGTTTCTTTTGTTTGGATGGACTAAATCTTGTATATGCTGATAGCAGGTAAGGATAATGAAGGGAAAAGATTCAAGCGAGTCAAAGGGTTATGCTTTTGTGTCCTTCAGAACAAAGGAATTGGCTTCCAAGGCCATTGAAGAGTTGAACAATACTGAGTTTAAGGTATCCTGCTTCTGAGTTCCTTTATAGATACGATATTAGTCATAGAAACATCATTTCTTCATTCTGGCAATGGAATTTGTGCTCACTATTATCTTTCTCACTTTAGGCTGTATGAATGTTATTTTCATTTTTTATTTTTCTTTTATAAGGTAAGGTATCCTGCTTCTGAGTTCCTTTATAGATACGATATTAGTCATAGAAACATCATTTCTTCATGCTGGCAATGGAATTTGTGCTCACTATTATCTTTCTCACGTTAGGCTGTATGAATGTTATTTTCTTTTTTTATTTTTCTTTTATAAGGTATGTTGCATGAATGTTCTTCTATCTCCTTCTTTGTCTTCAGGGTAAAAAGGTAAAGTGTTCAACATCTCAAGCAAATCATAGACTGTTTATTGGCAATGTCCCAAGAAACTGGGGAGAAGAAAATATGAAGAAGGCTGTAAAAAAGATTGGGCCTGGAGTCAATTCGGTGGAATTGTTGAAGGTTTTTGTGCTTTATTTTTTCGTGTATACATGCATAGACAACATAGTCTGATGATGAATTGTGTAGTGATCTTTTTATCTTTTCTTGGTTGCACAGGACCCACAGAACCCAAGCCGGAATCGGGGATTTGCATTCATTGAGTATTATAATCATGCATGTGCAGAATACTCAAGAAAAAAGATGTCAAACCCAGAATTTAAACTAGATGATAATGCTCCTACTGTGAGCTGGGCAGATCCTAAAAATGCAGGATCTTCTGCTGCGTCTCAGGTCTGTTGCATTGTCATTTTTTGTTCTCCATTTTATGTAGTAGAGCTTTGTTCTGGCTATCAAAAAAGTTCATCTGCTTGAGATGCTTCTGCATTTGTCTTGTTGCCTTCTTGATTGATGCCTAAGGCTCCTGTTTCTGGGATGTTGACTGGTAATGAGGAGCAGCATTTTCCCCCATCTCCAGATCCAACACTAGACCAACTTTTCCATCTGAATTGTTGCTCTTTTTTTAAAAAAACTTTTTTATTGATTTCTTACTTCTTAGACAATTGTTTGTGTGCAACTGCAAGTCACCGTGCAGTTATATTTATCAAATCATTTATTTTTGGGAAGTTTTTGAGTCATGACTGACTTAATATGTTTGTTACAGGTCAAGGCAGTATATGTCAAGAATTTACCTGAAGATATTACTCAGGATCGTCTAAGGCAGCTGTTTGAGCATCACGGAAAAGTCACAAAAGTAGTTCTTCCACCTGCAAAACCAGGACATGAAAAGAGCAGATTTGGTTTTGTGCACTTTGCAGAGAGGTCAAGTGCCATGAAGGCTTTGAAGAACACTGAGAAATATGAAATTGATGGTAACTTTTCCTCCTAAAATCTAGCAGTCTTTATTTACACTTGTGAATGTTTTCTATTAATGACAGGTGCCTCTTCATTCGCAGGTCAAGTTTTGGATTGTTCCCTTGCAAAACCTCATACTGATCAGAAGCCTTCTGGAGGGCCAAATTCACAGAATTCATCCTTGTACTCAAACTTTCCACCTCAACTTGGCTATGGTTTAGCTGGGGGTACATATGGTGCTTTCAGTGCAGGCTTTGGTGCTGCTGGCTTTACACAAGTAAGCTGATGTTCTATTGTGCCACACACACACACACACACACAGAGCACAGCACAGCACAGCACCACTTTGAAACATGGAACAAGCATATGTATGGTGGTCTGCTAGGATTTATCAAGGAACAAAATATTTGAGAAGTTCGTCAACATAGAAAGTCGGAGTTATTTCAACTTTTCATTTTATGGTTTGATGCTGAAGAGATTGTTTCATTTTTATTCATTTCAAGACAGAAATAATGATGGTTATGCTTACTACTGGTAGGAATTTGTCCTCTTATGTCAATTTGTATGATTTAAGATTCACAAAATTGCTTCTAGGATTTAACAGTCGGTAACTACTTTATGCAAACTATTATTGATTTTAATTCACTATGATTATTATGATTGACAATATTTTTGAGGAACTTAGAGCCAAAGGCATACTTGAATTTACCACAATAGACATAATTAAATGACAACAATAAATGGCTTTGCATTAAGCAATGATCCTCATAATAAGTATTTTTTCAATTAAAAGTTCGCAATTTAGATCTTCATTCAAGCTGTGTTATTGATAAGGATTAATTTGTTATCTTTGTTATGAGATGTATAGTGCGTGTATTGAAATTTTCTCAAACTCTGATCAAGTATATTTGCTCATTGGCATGACAAAATCCAGCAGCCTGTCATCTATGGCAGGGGACCGACTCCTGCTGGCATGGCAATGATGCCTATGCTTTTGCCTGATGGAAGGATTGGATATGTCCTGTAAGTACAGTTTTATTTTGTTTACCGTCAGTTGCACACCCAACAGCAACCAGATATATAAATTAAAAGCCAGTCTTCTGTGTTCTTCTATTCCATACCATGACTTGTGCATGCTCTTTCTAGTGGTTGGCTGGTTGTTTGTCATCATCCTTTCATTTGCTTGTGTGTCCAACAACCTCCTTTCATTGCTCCAAAATCCTTGCTGCACCTGGAATTTTTGGTATTACCTCTCTGTATTTTCATGTTGCATTAGTGATTACCTCTTAACTTTATTCTAAAATGTGTGTCTAACTGCGAATTGAGCACCACTACCATCTGACTATATCATACCCGGAGCCCAATGTACATGATGATTGAGCATACTATGTTGTGAAAAGATGTTCTATATGCTGGACTTACCAGACCAGTGATTTTAATCCATGAAAATCCTGAATTTGATTAACTGTTTGTCTCGCGCAGCAGAATGATGACCTGTTAACCAAAATTTAAGATGCTTTTATTATTTTTCCGCAGCCAACAGCCTGGAATGCAAGCACACAGCTCTCCACAGCCACAGGCTGGCAGGGGTCGTGGTGCTGGCAGCTCGAGTGGTGGAAGACGTGGTAATGACCGTGGACGCAGCCGATACAATCCATACTGATTTGGTAGTGAAAATGCAAATGGGGAGAGTTAAATGTTGCTGTTCGACATTTGATTAATTGGATGATTCGAAAAGCTTTGTACCTTGAACAGAAAAACTGACGTGCTAACACGCTACGGCTTTTGCCCTGTTTTTTTCAGACTGAACTCACAGGGCAGTCTAAGTAGTTTAATGAATTCTCAAAACTAATAGATTACATGTGTAAAGCGACTGAAGACAGCTTGTACTTTGTTTTTTATTTTTTGATGAAGCAATTGTCATTTTAACCTTACGTCTCGTCTGCTGCCTGGCTAAGGCAGCATGTTGCTCGGCCCTAAAAGCTCATCCAAAACTATGAGACGTTTTTTCACACCTGATTACGGTGACTTGTTTTAATTATGGTATATATTACATGGTAATAGCTTAATACTCCTAAGACTGGCATCATGAATAGTACTTCTAATCAAGGTATTAGCGAGTATTTCGCATAGAAGTGTTTGATGAATATTCTTGACTTTATCGTTAATAAATATTGGATTGAATAATATCCTTAATTCTTAGCGAAATTTTAATCCTAACGGATCTGACCATATATGTGATAGCATATTAAAAAATTTTAAAAAAATCCAACAAATCTCATCACAGTAATCAAAATTATATCTAAAGAATTCAAACATACAAAAATTATTAAAAAAATTAGTCTAAGGGTTGAAATTGACCTTCCAATCGCAAAATAGATGCGCAAATAGCTAAAAATGCGTTTCTTCGAAGAAAAAATATTTTATGTTTTTGAAAAAGATTATAAAATATTGAACTATGACAGTATATCTATACTAATGATATCCATTGCGGGATTTAGCAGAGTAAATTTATTCATCTGGTTTAATTACAAGTAGCATGAGCAACTGTCAAGTTTTGATGCTGCGACCTGCTGCATGAGAAGACTAAACCAACTGTACTCTTAGGCAGATAACCAGGTGTTCTTACGGTTTTCTTGTCGACAATGCGCAGCCGGAGCTCGCAGTTCATTAGTTTTTGGAGCTTTGAATCATTTCTGCCAATCAAACTAATCTCGCCACGGTCCAATCATCAGATGCCGGAGCTAACAATAAACATTAACAAAACATTAATTAAGAGAAACTAAAAGGGTAGCTGTTTTCCTGTAGCAAATTTAATAATATGGTTACAGACTCATTGGAATTATAATTTGGAGCATGGAAATGATGATTTTTTCCGTATCAACATAAGAAAATTGGCCTTCCTATTGAGATAAACACAATATTTTCATTTTTTTTTGCAACCACCATTTTTAAAGCAAAAAAAAAATATTAACCAAAACCAAGGGGCTGTTTTGACTTATTCCTGGCAGCATAATAGATGAATAAATTACCATTGAATTTAAATATCCTTTAACTAGCATCTAAAGATATTTTTTATTGTTATAATTAATATTTTTAAACATAAAATATTATTTAAAATTGAAAAGTTTTCAGCATGTGCTTATCATGTAGAGACACGCGACTACACTCGAGCTCTTTAAATAACACGTACAATATCTTCGGACATCAAAATACAAGCTTCTACAATGGTATTTGAATTATTTTGGCTCTTTGTACCTACACCATGCTTATGGCTAATGGACCTCTAATTTAGCACTAATGATTTTTTTCTCTTTTTCTTTAATTTTTATGTTTGACTTTATAAATTTTCAAAGAAATCTTTCAATTTGATCCTATTCTTTTTATTATTATCTATTTTATTTGAAATAATTTATATAATTAGATTTTTTTAAAATTTCATTACTTTTGAATTTTTTTTTCATTTGCTAGATTTGATCCTTATTTTTTTAATTGCTATTTTTTTTAATCCTTTTCTTAATTGGTTTTTTTTTCAAATGCATCCCTCAACATTTTATTTCATTTATTTTTTATGTAAAGTTTTATCCTTATTCTTTTAATTGCTATTTGTTTTTGTTTTAATTTTTCATTGAAACTTTCTTTTTTAATTTTATCACTCAAATTTTTGTTAATTATGATTTTTTTAATCAAAATTAGTTTCATTATTTTTTTTTGTGTTTTCCTTATATATAATGCAATTCTGACCTTGAAACCCAAATCAGAAGATTGAAAATTTAGCTTAGGTTGATTTAGGTTATTTTTTATAATTGATTTTGTTTTTCATTTCTATTATTCAATATTGGGTTTGTTGGGACTTAGGCTTCACTATTGTTTTCCTTTTCTTCTCTATAGTGTTATCTTGTTTTCACATGTCGAGTCATAAGTTTGGCGGATTAACTCAGGTTGACCAAAGCTAATTTTTTTTTGTTTCATTTTATTGTCGTTGCCATTTTTTTTTAATCTAGAGCATCCTTTTTTTTTTTTATTGAAAAAAGTTTGATATGGCTAATGAAACAACATGAATCACCAATCTAGTTAACAAAACATTAAAAGATGTGGTGCTTTTAGTATGCACCTCCTCACAAAAACACTATTTATTTCAATAGTACTTTGCTTCTTTTTTTTAAAATTTATTTATATTTTTTTTCAATTTCAATATCATTTTTCAACACTTTGTTTGTTAGATATTAGACATCATGATTTTATTTTAATTTAATTTTTATGAGGTTGTTATAACCAAAAAACCTGGGTCATGGATTTGACAAATTAACCCGATTGACTTGATTTTTTCCCTTTCTTTTAATTAACTTTTTTTTAAAAACATTTCACTAGTCAACAATTTATCAATTAGAAATTAGGTTTCATGATTTATCTTGAGTTGTTTTTTATGAGATTATCTCAATCTCAAAACCCGAGTGATTGGATAGAATTCTGTTTTATAATTTATCTTAATTTTTTAATTAGATTATTTTGGTCTTATTTTTTAAAACTTTCACATTGAAATTATTTTTTCATCCCTAATTTTTTTTCCACCATTATTAGAAAAGGGTAAGATTACAAGACATGAGATCAAAGTAAAGATAGAGGAGGCAATGTATGGTTTCCTTAAATTTTTGATGAAATGTTCATTGTAGTCCTTGCATTTTATGAATTATAAATATTAGATACTTTCAATTTATAAAATTTTTAAAAAGTCAATTTTTATCCAAAACTTTATATTTTTTTTTTCAATCCATACTTGAGAGGGAAAAAAGAAAGTTATTTGATCTGATGGTAGAGAGAAAATCACCAGACTGGCTATGTTCACCAATATTGTTAATCTTAGTGTTAAAATATTTTTTTGATATAAGGAATTCCACTTAGATGTTTTTTTCACCTTTAAATTACCTAAAAAAATATATTTGAATTGGAGAAGATTTTTGGTTTTGAGTTGAGTCTAAGTTTTTTTTATGGTTTCATGAGGTCATGAATGAGTTTCTCAATGTGTCTAGAGTTTTTTTTTAGATGTTTTAGATAAAAAAAAATAGATTGTAAATAAAATTTTTAGGATAAAAATACATAGGGCCTAAAATTTCAATAACCCTTAATCCCTAGAAATTAGGCTAGCAGATAATGTGTTGTCTATAAATTTTTTTTTTAAAAAAAATTAAATAACAAATAGCATATCATTCACTTTGTTATTGGCAAAAAAAAAAAAAGTTTGGTTTACAAGATAGATCTCTTTCATGGATCTGATGTGCAAATAAGATTTTTTTATCCACACACCTGACTTGTTTATTTTTCTTAATTTAATGTGTTTTTAACCCTTAAAATTAAAAATAATGCATCATTTCATCATTTGTTTGGTTTGAAAAGATTTTTTTATTTGAATAGAATAAAAACCCTTTTTTTGTTATCAATTTGTTTTTATTAGGGCTATTCTTTTCCTAGTCCCATGAGCAACCCTTAATTTTGTTTTTATTTTTTTAAAAAAAGTATTGTTTGATATATAAAAATAGTATCATGCACCTTGTTGGTGTATAATTAAAAGAATAAATTTTTAAATTTTTTTAATTAAATCTAATTAGATATAACTTAAATAGTGAGTTTAATATATTACCTATCTTAACTCATGTTTTTTTTTTCAAAAGTTAATTATAAGAAAATTTATTTTAAATTTCATCTTTTGTTATTTTATTTATTATTTTTTCATTTACTATATATAAAACAAAAAAGTTGAAAGAGCCTGCATTTTTTTTTTTCTTGTTGGAAAAAAAAAATGACCAGCTGCAAATCACAGGTCCCAGGGTCATATGGCTAGCATATTACTAACTTGTTGCGTTAATCTAACAGGCTAGGGTGCTATAACTCTAATATACTGGTTATCGTTTGATAACTAAAACTACAATCATAAAATCACATTATTTTTCCAGGGTTTATTCAAATTGGAACACTTCAGATTCGAGAACAAGGAATTTCCAGAGAAACAAATAAGGCCGACTGACACCACATTCTCATATTGATTCCCTTTATCAGTTCCAATCAATATCTTTCAAGCCACCAAGCTTCCAACTTCGTTAAACTAGTAAATAATATTAGGAATAAAACAATTCAAAAAATAGCTAACATATTTATTTGAAACATATTTGGAACACATATTATATGCCTAAGAATGCACAGATGATCATACACAATGGCCCTTCCAATGGATCTTGAATTTCAGATCCCAGAAGGGCAGAACATAGGGGGTGTGGAGTAGATTTCGGTATTCCTCAAGGCTATTCACTCCCCTGTATTTGAAGACTTCCTAATATATGTTTCAAACGCGCTGTGTGTGTGTGTTACTGCATCATAAAGCTTTTAAGACTTCAATGAACAGCTTCATCTCAATGCGAGTGAGTAAACACTCTAAATATGCTCCACGATCTGGATCTGTGGCAAACATAATGATAAAGAACAACATTTAACTAAATATTAAACAATCATGTAGATCAGGTACTAAGGGGCGCAGATACAAAGACGACAACCATCCAAAGCCTTCATTGCTGAAAGATAAATTTTCAGACAGATCCTTGTGTCAAATGTAAGAGTAAATATAGAAAACGGGATATAATCATAAAGTTTGGCATTTCTAAGCTTTTAGTGTCACTGATAAACAGCAGTCACTCTTTCCCGTATTGGTGAATCTCACTTGCAAGTTTCCCTTGGTTATATTGTTAGCAAATATTTGTTGCTCAAGCTGTTCTTATATTTCAATCTTCAAAAATCAGTACATCTTTTAGCTTTACATCAGACAAGTATTTTAAACGTAAGCATTGAATTTATTGAAGTCCTTTCAAGGATAATCTCATTTCCATGAGCGATAACAGATACAAGGAGCATCAGCGGCATTCAATTATGTGCAAGAGAGAGAATATAATTTTATGTAAGAAATGGTTAACTTTAGTTTTAGCAGCAGACCTGCATAACTCGAATATACATAACAAGCATCGCTTGTATTCT